TGGGCTGAGTTCAACCATGGTCCATTGACTCCCGTTGACCTGGAGATGAGAGAGAGAAGAGGAAGGGCTGCTGGTCCAATGTGTGTTGAGACCTGGGGACACCTGAGCCCATGGACAAGGACATAGCCACAGAGGGCTAGAGCTGAGAGTGAAGCATCCAGCTGATATGAAGTGAGGGGAGAGGCATAACAACACCCAAATTTGCAGATAGTACTCATTTGACCTAGCCTCAACAGCTTGATAATCAGAACTCGACTAGAGGAAGATAAAAAAAAATAAAAAAAATTTTTGATAAAGGAAACAAGGGTAAATGGCTACAATTTGATGAACTTGACCTATTCTCATGGAAGTTGTTGTTGTTAGGTGCCATCAAATTGGCACCAACTCAATAGCAACCTTAGGCACAGCACTGCCTGATCCTAGGCCAACCTCACTACTGTTGCCACGCTTGAGTGCATTGATGCTGCTACTTGGGCAATCCATCTCGTTGGGGGTCTTTCTCTTTTTCTCCGACCCTCCACTTTACAAAACATGATATCCTTCTCCAGCAACTGGTCCTTCAGACAATATGTCTGAAGATGAGAGACGAAGTTTGGCCACCCTGGCCTCCAAGGAGCACTCTGACTGCACTTCTTCCAAAGCAGATCTATTGGTTCTTTAGGCAGCCCATGGCACTGTCAATATTCTCCTGCAATGCCATAACTCAAAAGCATCAGTTCTTCTATGTTCTTTCTTATTCACTGTCCAGCTTTCGCATGCATATGAGGTTATTGAAAATATCATGGCTTGGGTCAGGCACATCTTAGTCCTCAAGCTGACATCTTGTTCTTCAACACTTTAAAAAGGTCTTGTGCAGCAGATTTGCCTAATGCAATACATCATTTGATTTCTTGACTGCTGCTTCCGTGAGTATTGATAGTTGATCCAAGAAGGATGCAGTCCTTGACAACTTCAATCTTTTCTGCGTTGATATGAATATTATTTATTTGTTCAGTGGTGAGGATTTTTGTTTTCTTTACATTGAGATGTAATCCATACCGAAGACTGTGCTCTTTGATCTTCATTAATAAATGTTTTAAGTCCCCTTCACTTTAAGCAAGCAAGGTGGTATCATCTGCATATGGCAGGTTGTTAATGAGTCTTTCTCCAATCCTGATGCCACGTTTTTCTTCATAGAACCCAGCTTCTTAGATGATTTGTTCAGCATACAGGTTGAATAAGTATGGTGAAAGAATACAACCCTGTCACATACCTTTCTTAATT